TTCTGCTCTCGGGGCATCTCCAGGCCTCATCTGCACAGACCAAATGGCGGATTATCTTATATGGAAATAAAAGCAAGAAAAAGTATCTGGGGATTAAAAAGGGAAGGGAGATTCTTGAAGGAAGGACTACTTTACTTCTGTCTCTGTTCTTGAAATTTCTCCTCAGTAGTATGGCCTACAGGTAAAGCCCTGCTAGGGTAATGGTGCTAGAAAAGGTAGGAAGGTTTGACTCTCGTCTTGGCTCTAGACTATGTCTTCTTTCTGAGGAACAGCCTTTCAAGGCCAGTCACTGGGGATAAGTTACTTGGCATGGTAATAACCCATGATAAAAAAGAAAAATATGAGATGGCTCTCAGTCCTGTGCAGGCCTTCTCCCCCCACCAAATATTTATCCTCAGAAAAAACCTCGGAGATAGTCAACCAGCATTTATTAGGCATCTGTGCTAAGCACTGGGCTTATAAAGAAAGGCAAAACGCCGCCTCTGTTCTATAGGAGCTCACAGTCCAATGGGGGAAGTAACGTGCAAATAAGTACATACAAAATAAATTTCATACAGGAAATAATCAACAGAGGGAAAGCACTCGAATCAAGACTTCCTGTAGAAGGTGGTATATTAGCTGGGATTTGAAGGAAGCCAGAAAAAAACAAGAGATAGATATGAGGAGAGAGAGCATTTCAGGGATGGAGGCAGCCAGGGAAAATGCCCAGGATTGGGAGATGGAGTTTCTTGTGTGAGGAACAGTGAGAAAGCTGGTGGGAGTGTGAGGTGTAAGAACTTTTTTCAATTCAACAAACACGTATTAGGTACCTATTATGTGCCAGATACTGTGCTAAGCAAAGAACAAGAAAGACAGCCCCTGCCCTCAAGAAGCTTACCATCAAATAGGGGAAGGATGCTGGAAAGCAGGAGAGGTCCTACCTGGGAAGACCCAGTTGGGGGCATTTTATTCCATGGAATTCAAAATGAATGAGTTCGGATCTGGCCTCAGACACTTACTAGTTATGTGACTAAGAGCACAGCTGCAGGTTTTGGAAAGTGGAGTGAGCTGGACAGTCCAGAGTCCTGCCCTCTCTAAAGGAAAGCTTTGGGAGGAGTCTACCTTTCCATCCTTCCATGAGAAGAGGAGCTGAAGGAGCTGGGAAAGTATGGAGTTAAACAGCATGAATGGAAAGGGGAGGGTGGGGATGGCAGGTTAGGAAGGGCTGTGAACACCAAATAGAGGGTTTTGCATTTGATCCTGGAGGTAATAGGTAAACACTGGACTTTGTTGATCATAGTGGGTACCAGAGTCATACCTGTGCTTTAGGAAGATCACTTTGACATTTGAATGGAGGATGGACTAGAGTAGGGAGAGACTTGTGCCAGGGAGACCCTCACCCCCACCAGCCACAGGCAGGCTACTGCAATAATCCAGGTTTGAGGTGGTGATGGTCTGCACTAGGGTGAGGGCAGTATCCTAGGAAAGAAGGGGACCTATTCCAGGGACGTTACAAAGATAATTTATTATCCCCATTTTATACATGGGGCAACTGAGCCAGAGCAAGGTGAAGTAACTGGGTCACACAACTAGCAAGTATCTGAGGCAGGATTTGAACTCGGGCCTTCCTGACTCTAGGTCCAGCACACTGTCCATTCTACCACCTAGCTGCCCGCTGATTTTATGACTGTTTTAATCTTCTTGCTGCCATTTCTGATTATTTTTATCTTCCTGAACTGCTTTTTCAACCATCTGGATAATTACTTCTACACGAAGGTATTGGAATGTGATTCGGGTAAAAGGACTGTTTGTTTGAACCTTGGGGCAATGAGTCATCTATTGTACTAGATTACTTAAATAGTGACCTGGGCATCCATTGATCAAAGAGCAGACAGAATCCTGGAGGTGCCAAGTTGTTATCAACTTTGACATTCTTGATAAAAACGAAACTAGAAGACAAAAGGAAGTTGCTGCTAAATGGAAGAATGATTTGCTGATTCTCTCAGAGGCAAAGAAAGAAAAAAAAAAAGGAGTTAGCAGAGTTGGTTTCATTGTGCATCCAAAGGCAAAATAGATCATTTTGTGGGATATTTGTTTACGTTACATTTCAGTGTTTCTGATGAACTTTTCCAAAAAGGCTGTTATGAAGATAATTACAGCTTATACATGAATATTTGTTACAGAGGATGAAGAAATAGAGGAATTCTACAGAGACTCCAAATTAAGTCAACATATACTTTAATACTGACTATATTTGTCTCATCAGCAAAGTTTGGTGCAGTGTTTTCTTTCTCATTTTTTGAGAATAAGTTGTCCAACATAAGTAAATCACTCTAAACTTTGGAAACAATTCACTTGTAAATTCATCTGTATCAGGATCCCCCTTCCCCCAAGCCCTCACCGCATTGTTTGGCAGTTCCTACCCCTCTCATTCTTTGGATTTGTATCCCCAGCATCTAATACAGTATCTACCAGATAGTAGGTACTTAAATAAATGCATTTATTAATTGTGCTAAGGCAGCTAGGTGGCACAGTGGATAGAGCACTGGGCCTGAAGTTAGGAAGGTGAGTCTTCCTGAGTTCAAATTTGGCCTCAGACACTTACTAGTTATGTGACTGTGGGCAAATTACTTAACTCTGTGTGCCTCAGTTTCCTCATCTGTAAAATGAACTGGAGAAGGAAATGGCAAATCAGTCCAGCATCTCTACCAAGAAAACCCCAAAAGGGGGGTCACAAAGAGTTGGCATGATTGAAACAGCTGAACAACCACAAAAAAATTTGTGCTAAGCTCTGAGACTATAGAGACAAAAATGAAAGAGTCCCTCCCTTTAAGGAGTTTTATATTGCATGTATCTTTGGGTCAAAACTTAGGAATAATTCAGTGATTTTTCTCATGTTCCAATCACATTCCAGGATGATTGAGCCAATTCACAGTTCTACCAAAAGTAAATTCCCTTGTGGCTTATTCAATTTCCTTTTCTGTAATGAGGTCGCTTTATCTTTATTTCACATTCTGTTAATTTGGATATCTTATGTTTCTGTAGTGAACCTTTCATTGTAACAGAGAAAACCACTTAGGCAAAACTAAGTGACCACCTCTGATAGCATATGCATAGCTCCACACCCAAAGCTGTAGTCCTCAATCTCCCTACCTAGGACAAACAAAGAGCATTTCTTCCTTTGTTCTCTGGGGCCAAGATTGGTCATTGCAAATCAATAAGAATGCAACTATCTCTTTTAGTGGGTGTTTTTTGGTATCAGTGTTATTGTATTTTTCTCCTGATTGCTCTTTTCACTCTGTATCAGTCCATACAATTCTTCTGATGTTTCTCTGAATTCCTTATAGTTGTTCTTTCTTAAAGGGAAATAATAACTCATTACATCTATATGCCGCAATTTGTTTAGCCATTGACTATGTAGTTTGTACCCATTTTGTTTCCAGCTTTTTTCCTACCACAAAAGTGATGCTATGAATATTTTAGTATATATGAGACCTTTCTTTCTGTGACCTTCTTGGGGTCACCTGTGAGGCCCTCCCCAGGGTTGCTTTGGGGGTAGCTAGGTGATGCAGTAGATGGAGCACCGGGCCTGGAATCAGGGAGACCTGGGTTCAAATCTGGCCTCAGATACTAACTAGCTGTGTGACCCTGGGCAAGTCACTTAGCCTCTATTGGCCTCAGTTATCTCAACAGTAAAATGAGGATCATAATAGTATTTGCCTCCCAGGGTTGTTGTGAGAATCAAGTGAGATAATACTAGTAAGCACTTAGCACAGTGCCTGGCACATAGTAGGTGATTCATAAGTGCTTGTTCCCTTCCCCCTAACTACCTTATTTTATTAATTTGTACTTAATCTCCTTATACTTATTTTGTATATACTTAGAGATGTACTTCTATTCCCCCTTAGAATGCAAACTTCTTGAGGGCAAGGATTGTCTTATTCTTTGTACCCCTAGCATCTAATACGGTGCCTGCCACATAGTAGGTGCTTAATAAATGCATTTACTAATTTGCTATGCACTGAGATAGAAATGAAAGAGTCCTTGCCTTCAAGGAATTTTATATTGTATTTGAGGTATCTTTGGGTCAAAATTTATGAATAATTCGGTGACTTTTTTCATATAATTCCAAATTATATTCCAGAATGATTGGACCAATTCACATTCCATGAGTAATATATTAGTGTGCCCCTCTCCTTATAGTCCCTTCAACACTGACTATTTCTGCTTTTTATCGTCTTTATTAAATTAACCATTGAAGATCAATTTGGGTGGGGAATGAGAAAGAGAAGTAGGGGAGAGACCTGAGGCTTCTTACAGGGAGGTCATTGCTAGAGGAGGGAGAGGATAAGGGCTGAGAGGCACACTTCTGAGCTGAATCCCACATTCCTGGGTAAATGAGCTTTGTTGAGCATAGGGGGCAAGTATTCACACATTAAACTTTTTTGTTCCTTGTTTCCCACCCCACTCCCTTAGAGAAGACATGATACTGATTCCCATGTCAGACAGCCCAAATGTAGTCACATTGCATTGAGGACAGTCTGTACTTGGGCAGGTCTGGCCTGCATCCTTGCAATGCCACTGATACTACACCTAGGAGGAGGCAGAGAAGGAGGTAGGGTGGTTGGAGAAGGTGCCTCCATGCTTCCTTTCCTCCCTCATCCCCAGAATGCAGGAGGATATGCCAGCAGATCTGGCAACAATCATATCCCAGAAGAGTGGTGAGACTGCAGCTATCAAGGATAGCAGCCTCAGGGTCCTGGCAACAGAGCTCGAGTGGTCACGTTGCAGATGCAGGTGGCTATGCCTCTGGACCAGCAAAGGATTTTGAGGCAGAGGGACAGTGGGTCGTCAGGCAGGAAGCACATCTCCTACCCTCAAGAAGCTCACAATTGAATGGGGGAGACAACAAACAGATAGATACAGAGCAAGACATGATATAGGGATGGAGAGTGGGACGGGCAAGAGAAGGAGAGGGGGCATCTGGGTTCATGCCAATCCTTGTTTCTCTTTCTCCACAGATCCTCATTGGTTCAGTTGCCACCACTCAGTCAAGGGTATTTCGCCATGAAGCAGACATTCAACGAAGGCAGAGGCATGGCATGGATGCCCAGTGTCCAGCAGGTATTCTGAGTAAAAGTCTCTTACCTCTTTGCATCTTTCCCCCCATATTCTGGAAGAGGAGAGAGGATGAGCTCTTGTCTTGAAGTAGTCATCTGTCCTTTGTCCTCACTGCCCATGCCTAGGGCCTTGGGCACACAGAGGGAGCTCCAAGCCCTTTGTCCGTCAGAGTCAGAGTCAATAAACATTTATAAGCCAGGCTGTATGCCAAGAGCTGGGTATACAAAGGAAGACCTAAGATAATCCCTGCCCTTCCTAGTCTAATGGTATGAAGATAACTCGTAAGCTGGAGAGCGGGGAGTGTTAGGGGAAGGGAAGGTACCCTGCACTGGTGAAGCCCTGTCCCGGGGTGGGGGTGGGGGGGCGGGGAGAGGGACAATGAGTAGAGGATAGTGAGGGTTTCAGAGTGATTTTGCCAATGACACTTTCCTGCTTTCATAACTTGAATCCCTGAAGTCCTATTTGAGTGAACCATAGAAAAAGTCACACCTTACTCTTTTTTGTCTCTTAGGAGAATACCTTAAGCCTGCTTCAATCCCTAACACAACAGCAGTGTGTATGCCCTGCCACAGTGGCATAGACTTTACGGAGTACCCCAATGGACTTCCCTCCTGTATTCCGTGTCAAATCTGCAAGCCAGGTACTAAGAATAGAGAACTTGGGGCTAGAGTAGAGACAGGGTGGTATCATGGAAAGAGTCCTAAGCCTCAGTTTCCTCATCAGTCAAATGAAGGAGCTGACTTAGGCGATATATGAAGTCTTTCCCAGTGCTAACAGTGTGGTTCTAAGAGAGTTGGAGGGGAGGGGAAGGATGGAGGGATGGGGTTTGGGGAAACATAAATGAAGGAGAACTTGAAATACAAGATTAACCAGCAGAGGGCAGAGGGGGAGTCTAAATCTAAACAGCTTTTGGCCATTGGAATTTTGGTTCCTATGATTAAAAAACCATAGCACACTATCAAAAGAAACTGTTGATAGCTCAGCAAACGAGTGCAGACAGAGTTTGAGGTAGCACATGTTGTATTTGAGGAGCCTGGCTTTTCTCCATGCTTCCTTTTCTGAAAATGAGTACATTTTGCAATGATCCTGATTTTACATGGATTCCCCCTATCGTCCGTCCTTTGAATGTGCAAAATATTTACAACTAAACTTTGATAGGACTCATTGTATCAAGAACAACTGGTAAATGAGCTCAAGTCAACAAACATTTATTAAGTACCTACTGTGTGCCAAGGATTGTGCTATATATGGTATATATGATTCATATAATATAATATAGTCACATATTATATGCATAAAACACATATACCGCATATGAATATATAATACATTATATACATTTATATATGCATACATGTGTGTAAATATGCATGTATGTCTATAGCTATACATGTGCATGTATCTATACGTGTGTATTTGTATACACATGTATGTATTGTGTATGGGTGTGTTTGTTGTATTACATTACAATAATAGCCAGTATCCTGCACTCAGTACTGCTCAGTTTAATGTCCACCCAGGATGCTCTGCCTATTCTTCCAGGCACCCAAACCCTACCCATATTCTAAAGCCCAGATCAAGGGCTCCCCACTTCATGAAACCTTCTACAGTTACTCCATCCCATGCTGATGACCTTCTATATCAGTGCCGTTCACCTCAGCCCTTGAAAAATAAAAACAAAGCAGTGTCTGATTAGCAGTCTCTCTCTCTGTGTCCAGCTGTGTGCTTCTCGGGCAGACGCTGTACTCTAGACTTCCCTTGGGTGTCTCTAATCTCTCACGCCTCACAGGGCCTAATCCCCAGGCCTGACAATGGACACACAAAAGATGGTCAATAAAGATTTCTTGGGCTGAACTGAATCCCCCTGGAGCAGCAGAGGAGGTAGAGAAGTTTGGAGCTGACCAGTCATGGAGAGTGAAAGGGAAGATAATGTTCCAGACATAACTCATTCTCTGTGTCCCTAGACCAGGAAGAGGTAATGCCGTGTAACGCCACCCGGAACACCCAGTGTCGTTGCAAGTCTGGCACCTTCTGTCCAAAAGACCATCCCTGCGAGATCTGCAAAAGGTGCAAATCCAAGTAAGGACTCAGTGAGGGTCTCTCCAGGGCTAGAGATTCCTGGTGGAAGACAAAGAAAAAGTCTTTTCCATCAGTCCCTTTTCTCTTTTATTATTCCCTGCAAATAGTCATCATTCCCTCCTTTTCCTCAAGTACTTCTGGGTCTGGCTATTCATCTGTAAACCCTTTTTCTCTTCCCAAAACAACTTCACTATTCTGCTTTGAGTGGGTATATCTACCCCAGAGGCCCTCAGGTCTCACCTCATGGTTGAAACCAATTTAGCACGACTTGTTCCCAGCGTCAGCATCTCTCCTTGCCCATCTTCTGAATCTGGCCCTGCATTCCTTTTTCTTAATGATTTCGCCTACATGTGGTTCAGACCTTCCTATTTCTTTTTGCTCAGGTGTCCTAGAGGGATGGTAGAAGTCAGCTCTTGCAGCCACTGGAGTGACTTGGAGTGTACCTACCCTTTGCCATCAGGTACTCACAAAGCATGTAGGGGCAGTTGGTGGGGACTAGGTGATCCAAGTACACACGTTCACCATTCCTTCTCTGTCCTCAGACACAAGAAGTCATTGGATAACGGCTTCATTGGTGATAGTAGTAGTATTATTCTTCGTGGTGGTGGTTTTTGGAATTCTTTCCCGGTGTACCTGTGCAGTTTCTGGAGGTAAGGGAGATATCCCTGGGGTGAGGAGTATAAAGAGTGGGCTAAGTTCCCTTGTACATGTTGTATTGTTCCCCCATCCCCTTCCCAACTCATTTCCTCTCCACCTGTGCACATCCATTTTTCAAAACCCAGCTCGAGCCTTGCCTCCTTCATGAAACCTTCCCCAGCCATCCCCAGCCCTTCTTTATTATGTCAGGTGAACTAATGGATTGGACACTCAATTCAGCCCTAGGATGAGCTGAGTTCAAATCCCATCCCTGATGCTTATGACCTATGTAGCCATGAGCAAGTCATTACCTCTCGTAGGTAGCAGATGGCTACAAGATTGTTCTGGATGGTGTCTGTTGTATCTCACCGAGGGTCTCCAGCAGGGTATCCATAAGGGTGGCCTTTCCAGTTTTATTCAGCCACATAATGAGTTTTCTTATCTGTAAAATGGGAATAATAATACCTATCAGACCTATCTGACAGGATTGTTGTGAAGTTTAAGTGAGATAATATATGTAAAGTGCTTTGTAAACCTTAAAGAGTTATATAAATGCCAGTCGTTATTCACCTCTCCTTCATCAGTTCCTACCACAAACCACATCCGTGCCAGGCAATTCAGTACTTGACTGTATGCTGATTTTTGTTTATTATCTCCTATCATTTGCTAATTGCTTTATACCTGTCTGTTTTGTCTTTCCAGTTAAGTTCTATGCAGGCAGGCACTAGGCCTTTATTTATGCCCTTGCTCCTCCTCCAGCCCCCTCCCCCCATAGCACTGAGCCCAGTGCCCGGCAGGTAGGAGGCGATTCTGAGAAGCTCTGTGCTTGATTGATTGACAGGACAGGCAGCACAAAACTCAGACAGAAGAAGTGTGAAAGGATCTTAGGATCATCACGGATTTAGAGCTAGATTTTGCAGATGAGGAAACTCAGGCCTGGAGAGGTCAATATCTCTCCCCTTCCTCGGTGATATCTCTCCCCATGTTTGAGAAAAACTCACCCTTTGGGGGTAGTTATACAGATGCATCACCCATGGGCCTGTAACTTCTGAAATCTCCCTCCTTTTGACTGGCTAAGTCTCATTAAACTATTTCAGCTGTTCCTAAGATCTGTTCGGTTTTTGTTTTTTTTTTTCCCCCTCACATCCCAACTAGATCCAGAGAAGCCACCCTTTCTCCCGTTCTCTGTCCCTCTTCACTTGATCAGGTGATAGCTAATTATCAAAATCTCATTCTATACCCAGCACCATCCTGCATCCTGGTGGGATATTGTTGGAAAGATGGAGAGCTTCCTCTGATCAGGCGTGTTTTCTTTCCTTTCTAGCTGATAACTCATCTTTGAGGAATCCTTTGGACATCAAGGTGAGAGATAGTTATAAATGGGTTTGGGGATGTCTCCCCTGCACTCACTGCACATCTGGGGTGCACATCTTTCAGGGTCCAAAATTGCATACATTTCTTCAGCTTCCTTGCTTGACCATTTTGCTCAGGCAGTATCACTTAGGGTCACATTGCTGGGTCACCCCACTGAACATTCAAGGGTTTCTGTAAATAGTTCCCAAGCAGGAACCTCAATCTCTGGGATGGTGCTGGAGGTGACACATGGACCTTTTGAGAGCAACAGCTTTCTCTCTTCCCCACCCCTTCCCTGATACCCACGTTTCCTTTGCCCTGTCACTGGTAACACCAATCTCCTTCCCCCAGCACTTCCCCCTCCCTGCTTTGGAAGTGTAACTATAGCCTAGACCAAGAAGATTCCCTGGGGTGATGGGTCAGTACCAAAGAGTTTACACTGGGTGCTTTCTGAGTGTTCCCTGCCAGGGGACCCTGTACTCCACCCTGGGCCAGGCATGCATGGCACCTGATAGGGGAAAAAGAGAGCAAACCTCACACTTTGGGGCAGTTATAGAGAATCGCCCCACCCTGTGGGCCTATGACTTCTGAAATCTGACTACCTCCTTTTCTACGGTAAGGGATACTTACTATCACTCCTGCAGCACGATTATCACCCACAGCATCCTGAGGCCTGGGGTAATGAACACCCTGAGAGTGATCATCAGAGACAAGCAAATTCCCCTGAGAATCAAGGCAATGAATACAGTGGGCGGTTGGAGGAAGTTATAACCACTCCCAAGACCACAACAATGAATGGATATCATCCGGTGAGTAGGATCATCAAATCGGAGAGTTACAACTGAAAGATGAACCTCAGCAGTCACCTCGTCCTCCCTCCACCCTCCCTCCACCTCCATTACAGATGAAGAAACTGAAATCTAGACAAATTAAGCGATCTGCCTAAGGTCACACAGAGCAGCTAGGTGGCCCAGTGCATAGAGTACTAGACCTGGAATCAGGAAGACCTGAGTTCAGATCTAGCCTCCAACACTTATTAGCTATGTGACCCTGGATAAGTCACTTAATCTATGCCTCAGTTTCCTTATCTGTAAAATGAGGATAATAATAGCACTCCTCCCCCTACCCCACCACCACCTCCCAGGGTTGTCGTGAGGATAAATGAGATGTTTCTAAAGCACTTTGCAAATCCTCAAGTGTTATATAAATACTAGTCATTAGTTATTATTATTAGTAAGTAGTAGAACCTACTTACAAGGCCCTAGCACCGCATTGTACCATGCCTTGTGGCTTCTGGGCTACATGGTGCCTTTGAAGTAGAGACTGCCCCCCTTCACCATATGTCCAGGTAACATAGTGGTCACATCAGTGGCAGACAAGGTTCCCCAAGAATGAGGGGAATGGATCTGAACTGCATCTTCCTGAAGAGATGGGGTACTCTTGTAGTAGAATTAGATAGGAGTTGAGGGGAAAAGGAATTAGTTATGAGAAGTGTAGACTCAATATTACATTTCTCTGGTACTTCTCATGACCCCTTTGAGATAGGTAGAATAGGCATAACTCTCTCTCCCTGCCTTACAGTTGAGGAAACTGAGTCCTAGAGAAGTCCAGAGACTTTTTATTCAGTACACTGCACACAGTACACAGAATTGGGAGCCCAGGCCTCCTGACTTCCATTGCTTTTCCCATTTTCTCTTGCAGGGGCAGGCAGAAGCACCTCAGGTCAATCCAAAGTCACTATTTCCAGCTGATGGTGACCATATCAAGAGTAAGGCTTCTTTTTCTCTTTTTCTTTTAAAAGTCAGGTGTGGGATGAATGTCAGGGAGCAGAGGGCCTGAACAGGATACCCTAAACCAGTGACGTCAAACACAAATAGACACCACCAGCATACATAAGGATCCCTGCAGGCTGCATATTAATTTAGTTTTAAAATGTAATCTATGTTGAATTATATTTTTATTTATTTTATTAAATATTTCCCAATTCCATCTTAATCTTGTTCCTGTTGTACTCTGAAGTGTTGTGGGCTGCAAGGGCTGAGTGTTTGACACCTTCCCCTAAAGTTTCTCTACTTCACCTCACCCGGACTGCTTAGTGCTGCTGGGGTAAGGGTCTTGAAGGAATGAATGTGCAGGGCTCAAGCAGTAATGATTGCTGCTGAGTTATTGAAACCTAAAGTTCAAAAGACCCCAGAAAAACTCAGTATGTTTCGTGTAGCCTCCTGTTATTTTTCTCTACTCCCTTCCAGTCTGAACCCATGCCAACCCACAATGACTGCCCCCTCCTCGAATTCTTGAAGTACTCACAGTATATAGCATCATTTGGCATTTACCACAGCAGACTGCTGTGTTTTCCCTAGCTAAACTGTATGCCCTGTGAGGGTAGTAGCTATGTCTTAAACTTTGTTTTAACTGGGGGTTTTTCAGTCCCCTTCAGCATACCCTGCCTCCTACCTTCCAACATGGCCAAAGTAATTGTTGATGATTGATTAGGAAAGTAGGCCTACAACAGGCAAGTTATATCATAGTAGCTGGTCCCTATGTCAGCTAGCCTCATTGACTCTAGTCTCATATCCATAGAAGTCTTCCCCTGTCCTCCACCCCAACTAGCTGCCTCCATAACTTTATTTCTTCTCCAGCTTTGGAGAAGTCTTTCTTTATCTTTGAACAGATAGTACCCTGGGATTGCTGGAACCAGTATATGAGGCAGCTGGGACTGAGCCAGAATGAGATCCAACAAGCCAGAGCGGCGGAGAGTAACGTCAAGGACCAGCCAAATAGCATGCTTATGGCGTGGCTGAATAAAACTGGAAAGGAGGCTACCATGGACCGCCTGCTGCAGACCCTGGATAAGATACACCAGAGGGCTGCCAGAGAAACCATCCATGACGAACTCATCAAAAGCAAGCTCTATGTCTACCAGAAAAGAGAGGATGAGAAGCCAAACTAAGAATCTGACATAAGGGTGGAGGTCTCAGATATCATTACATTTTAGCTTTCTCCTTCTGTGAACACATTAACTTTGGAGAAGTAGTCACAGAATAACCAGGTGTGAAAGACTGGGGAATCAACTGGAGCCCTGAAAAACTCTAAACATCTCCCTGGCTAGAGAAAAGATTCTTCTCTCCTGTGCTCTGAAGGAACTATTCTCTTGACCTCCAGTCACTTTGCTCTCAGACCACTTTGTGGTGTCCCAAACCACTCTGTGCAAAACAATGGGAGTTTTTTGAAGTAGGCAATAGCTGCCTTTCATGTTTTGAAGTAGTCATATTTTATGTTTGACTTTTTCATATGTTTACATTTTTCTACTTTTGGATATTTGTATAGCCCAAGGATCTATATGACTACAGTGTTACAAATGTACTACCATGTGTAACCTTTTACAATCTTAAGTCTTGATTCAGGGCTTAAAATACAATATAGTATTTTATAGATATAGATATAGAGTATAGAGTTGTTTTTATTCTATAATTTTTTAAAAATTAGAAAATGTAGTTTTTTTTAATTTAGTGAATGTTTTAAAAGTGCTATCAAAAAAAAAATGGTATCATTTTTTACTGTTCCTTGCAGTTGGAAAAACACTGACTGTGGAGGTGAGGTCAAGTGTAATATTGTGTGACAGGCAGGTGACTTCACTTGTCTGATCATTAGCTTTTTAATTTGTGAAAATAGAGACCATAAAAAAAATATTTTTTTTACTCATGCATGTTGTGAGAGAACATTCAAAAGCACTTTGAAAACTGCTACGAAGTTTTTTTTTTGTTTTTGGTTTTTTTTTTTTAGTTTAATAAGTATTATTTCACTGTGGTCTGGTGGGGATAAGCACAAGACCAGGTTCTAGTGCTCATTGAACAGTAACTCACTGTGACCCAACAAGTCACTTTACTCTGGCTCTGTTTCTTTGAGAAAAAGGACTTGGACAGACCAGCTTTACCTAATATTCAATCACTATCAGCACTAGTTTTCTTGCACTTTGAACTAGTATAGTTCTCCAATTTATATGGCAGAGCTAGACCCTCTGAAGTGGCTAGTTTCTGGTTAGAGGTCTCATTGCGGCTGTGTGGAACAAAAATGTTGGTATTTGGAATTTGGTTGTTTTTTTTTTTTTTTTCATTTTGTTTTTCAAATCTCTAAACCATATATTCCTCACTCCGGTAAGGACTTCACCGCAGCTGGCCTAAAAACCTGTACCTAGAACATACACGGCAGGTTCTTGATGAATGTTCTTTAGTCCCCTGTTACAATGTGAATAGATTCTACCTAATCTGTCTCCTTTGGCCAAATCATGTCCTGCTGCTCAATCAGGCCCTACTGCCTGGGACGCATATTTCAGGGATAGTTTTTTTCAAGTTTAGGGGACCTCTGAATTCTGATCCTACCAGAAAACAGCTGACTGTCTCTGAATTTAGTTCCCTCATCTACAAAATGGGAACCTTTTACACACTAACTTATTGTGAGAAAAAATGCTTTGTAACCAATCAAGTGCAATTGTAAATGGAAGAAACACTTTTTTCTTGCATCTGTTATCTCTGAATTGGTTCAGGCAACTCAATGTCTTCGCAGAAGAGCAAGAACAATAACGATGACATTGTGTACAAAATAGTTATGTATTTATGAATTTATGATCAAATTAAATATGAAACCTTGTATAAAAAGAGGGTTTTTTTTTCTCCTTCTTCCCTCCCACCTCCCAATGAGTAGCATCAGTCCTTTGCCTCTGTAATTCAGTCAACCATGCCCTGCATGGGTGAGTTACATTACCTCTTGCCAACTCTTGGAATTCATCTCAAAGCCCGAGGAGATGTGAGGGCAATGTCTCCATCTCTTCCCCCAGCAGAGAGGTATATCTGCTTTGCAGGCTAGGGGTCAGAGTTTGTCCACCCTGTAAGGGCTGGTTCAGCTAGGATGGTACCCAGGCCACAAACAGGACTGGAGGGTGATAGAAATTGGCTCTGAGGGCACAGCAGGGGAAAAGGGGAGAGGGATCCCTGAGGGAGTAACTGTCCTTCACTGGGCATTATGTTTCCCTTTTTTCTGTCTTCTTCCTAGGCTCTATCCAGGCCTACCTAGGAAAAAAGCCTTTGAAAGGAAGAAGTAATTTTTTTCCAGTCAGGAAACTCCAATCATTTGGCTGGGTCTTTCCTTTCTCCCTCAACTGACTTCCTATCCTCTTACTCCAAACACAGACCTGAAAACTCTGGAAACCCCCCTGAGATCTTCCAGAGCCCCCCACCCTTCCATATTTTGTTGGGCAAGTCCTCACCCTGCTCCCCCTCCCACTTTCTGCCATGGGGGTCTGTGGGCTTCACGACGGCCCTGTGAAGATCAGTTCTACCCTGCCCCTATGTAGGGACGCTTGTAATCACACCATACCGTACTTGCCTTTTTTCTTGTAAGGAGAAACTAAGGGTAAAGCAGCGTTTGTCAACATAGCACCAGCCTTATCCCCCTGTGCCTGGGCATACAGGGAGAAGAGAAGGCCAGCTGAGGGCAGCACATCACGAAGGTGGCCAGTCAGTCAGCTTAGGAAATGAACCTTGGGGTAGAGAGTATACATGAAAAACAGAGCTGTAGTTGTCCCCACAGTTTAACTGTTCATCTGGAACAAGGCTTGCTCTGCAATAAGCTGAACAGGCCGGTCAATCCAGCCTCTTTGCATACTTCTGGACTAGGCCCAACTCTGACATCCCAGGGCTTCCTCTTTCCCGCCAGCCCTGTGGAACCCAGGAATCATCCTAGGACATCAGACTGCCAGGCGGGCCCCTCCCATAGCTGCCCAGAAGGGGCAGTCGGTCTCTGAAGGGTTCCCACCTACCTCCCAGGCCCCTGTTTAAAAACTTAGAGCTACTAAAAAAAAGGCTACTAAGGAAAGGGGTCAGGGAAAAGAACATTGAGAAAGGAGCTTTGCCAGCCCTCCTTTTGCCCCGTGGGGGCTGCAGGTGCTCTTATCACCCCCTTCCCTCCCTAAAGCCACAACCTTGCCCTGTTTCTCAAAACAGTGGCCTCCTGTCCTGATCTACACACTATCCCTTTTCTACTCTCCCAAATTGAGGGGTGGGGGGGAGATGCCATAAATTTAAAGAAAAGCCAGTTCCTCAACTCCTCTCAATTCACCCCCCCACACACACAACACAAAGTACCCCATGGTACCACCCAGTAAAGACCAGGTGTGTGACTTTCACTCTCTCAGGGAGGGGAAAACAGAAGCCATTGTGGGCAGGTGTCAGTCACTAGGCTTCCGAGGGCCAAGAGTTCACCTCTGGCCCATCTGAACACCCCTCCCCACCCCCAGTCAGTGACTCCAGGGCTCCCTAAAGTCAGAAACAGCAGAGGTGAATCCCTTTCCACTTGGAGAGTTGGCGGCCGAGCTATTCTCACAACCCAATCCTTTCTTTCTTCCCCAGCAACTTTCTCTCTTGGCCTCAGGGGCTTTTGTTTGGCTTAATATAAAGGATATAAAGTATCTTTTTCTGCTTTTGGTTCTGTAGAATTTGTGGAGGATTTGGGGGGAATTTTAGCTATTTCTGCCTTTCCTTGTAAACCCCCCCCAAAAGCTGGGCTCTCTGACCAGAGGTTGGGAAGAGTATGATGTAGTGACAAAGTACCTGGGTTTGAATCCTAGCTCTATCACAAACTACCTGTGTGGCCTTAGGTAAGTCACCTAAACTCCCTAGACCTGTTTCTTCATTTGTAAAATGAAGACGTGGGACTAGATCATCTCTACAGCCCTTTCTGGTTCTAGGTCCTATGAACTGGTAGTTGTTGAACACAGACCCTCACTCCCTTCTACCTTCCTTCCTTTCCTACTCACCCCTATCTGTTCCTGTTGGTTTCTGTCCAGTGAGTAAGTTTTCTCTCAGCCTTGTGGAAGAAGGTAAGCAGGGAAGAGTTTCTCACTGGCATCACCATTTCTAGCCTGGGGAGCTTTGAACAGCTATACCTGTATTCAGATTCCAGGGGCTTGCCTGGTCTACAAGGCCACCTGTAAAATGCCTGGGTGATGGGTGGGAGAAGGCCCTCTTAGCCCTCCTGCCATCCTCATCTCATAGACACTCTTCAAAATGAGCAACTCTAGTGATGGAGTGAGGACAAGGCCTACACTGGCTTACAAATACGGGGGTCAGGGACCGCGGTGCTTGCCGTGGCCTCAAGTGAAATCTCCCCCAATGCATTTGCGAACTACAAGTCCTTTGGAAAAACATCAGTCAGTTCCGGGAGAAACCTTGTTCGCTCCTCACCAAGGAATTTGGGACCCTCTCTCCCCCAATCAAAATATAAGCCCTCTACAAAAATCACAACTTCCCATAACCCCATATGTCTTGGATTCCCTTGGATTCCCTTGGCGCATGGATCTCCAGCCATGACAAGGGTTCCAAATCCCAAATGGGAAAAAAGAGGATGGATGACTGAGGCGTCGGCTCTCCCTGATGCCTCACTGGAGGAGTCCTGGGAAGCTTTGGCTCCTTCCCATCCTCAGCGCGTCCCCATGCCTCTCACCAGAGCCCGGTCTTTCTTCCACTGAAACGGTCTGGCTGGTGTCATCTGCTCCACCCTCACGGGCCTAGTGGATTAGGTCCTCTTGTCCCTGGTGAGGGGAGAGGGGGGACACGCAGATAAAGGAGGACTGAAGGGGCCAGGGCAGGTGGAGAGGAGAGAATAGCAGCGGGGTCATCCCAGGAGGGTCGAGGCAGCTCTCAAACTACGGCTGAGGAGGAGGAGGGAGGTGAAGAGGAGGCCGCAGAGGACGAAGGAGATGAGGGGCCGTTCCAGAAGAGCCACTTTCTCTTAGGCTGCCGCTTCAAGTGCAGGTAATCCTCCTTCTCTCGCTCCTTCCGGGCTCGCTGGTAATGATCTTCTTCTTTGAGGTACCAGACAGGCGGCCAGCGGTGCTTCTCGAAGTACTCCTGGTTTTCTGGAGAACACAATGGGGATGGGTTAGAAGAAGGAAAGCCACGAGCCACCCGACATCTAAACACGCTCCTTCGACGTTCCCAGAAGACGGTCCAGTTATGTGATGGACAACGATTACTGACCGCCTCCTGGGTGTGCAACGGATACTGTGGGGAAACAGACTGATTAATGGACACGGTGCCTGCCGACAGGAAATTCTTAGCCTAGGAGAAAACATAGATGTCAGCTGTAAAGTAGCTTGCAAATGACAGACACTATTGCCACCAGAGTTCGGAAGAGGAGGAGAGTGCTTCCAAGAAGGGCAACCAAGGAAGGTTTCATTGGACAGGTAAAGTTTGTGCGTGGCCTCGAAGGATGCCTTGGGAGGCAGTCCGGTACAGTGGTCGGGATACGGGACGTGAAGTCAGGAAGATCCAGGTTTGAATCCTGCCTCAGAAACTTAAGAGCTTTGGGCCCATGGGCAAGTCATTTAACTCTTTGGACCTCATCTGTTTAATTAGGTCCAAACTGATTCTAGAATTTAAAGCTGGAAGGGACCTTGGGCAGATCACCTAAGTCTAATGCCCTCATTTTGAAGATGAGAAAACCAAGGCTCAGAGTGGAGAAATAATTTGTCCAAGGTGACACAGAAAATAAATGAGTAGCACAGCCAGGATCTGAACCCTTTGGGCTTCAAAATTCCATGCTCTTTCTACCACACCACCCTGGGCAGAGTACCAGTCACAGAAGTCTTTATGACCAACTCATCCTGGAATATTTATTTCCTACCTTATTTGCGCCCCCCACCCCATCCCCACCCTAGGCCATGCCCTAGTCTCTTGTCCTTTTCCAGTTCATCTCCCCTTCCTATGGTGTCCTCTTATAAGCACCCCAAGAACCCCTGGCCTAGACTGGGCTGCACTCCTGCAATATGGAGCAGGTCTTGGGCTCTGCCACCTGCCACCTTCTCAGCACAAGCAGGTACTCTCAATCCAGAAACGGCAACTCCTAGATTTGAAGACTTCAGAGGTCCCTTCTAATTCAAAATCATAGGATCCAATGAC